TAAATATATTTAAAGCATATAAATTAGGCTCTTCTATTAATTTAAGCCTAGTAAAATTTAAATAAACAACACTAAATATTTTATATTAGTAAAATCAATCCATACAATACAACTACAATATAAAATCAGGTCAGTTTATATTAAAGTTAGCCTTCAGAAATATTTGCTTATTTTTATATGTTCTATAAATTAAATTATACGAGAGACTAGATGCAGATCTACAAATGCTGAAATGTACACACAATATGAACACAATTTGATAATGGATATACATATATATACATATATCTAGTAACAAGCTGCAACTGTTTACAGATGCGCGAAACAGCGATATTGCATGTGAGATAGGCAGTGGGGTAGAGCCATATATAGCGAGTGTTCACTGTGCAGCGGCTGTCAATTGAGCCGAGTTGATTTGATAAGCATGACTAGTGTGTCGGGTCTGGTGGTCGTTGGGCTGATGCTTTTGGTGTATGCCGCAGCGGAGGAGAAGAGCTACAGCCTGGAGCTGAACTCCTTCGATAAGAACACAAAGATCGAGAACGACGACTCCTGGGTCGATTGGGGCACGCTGCGCATGAAGAAGGTGAGCCGCAACCAGTACACCTTGGACGGCGAGTTTGAGTTCAAGAGGAACATAGGCGATGAGCAGAAGGTAAGCCCCACATGTCCCATGGAGCTCAAGAGAAATACTGCATAGACTCGATACCCATATACAATAGCTATCGCTGCAAGTGTTCTCCTACGATGAGGGCGCCAAGCAAAAGGGTCCCATGGTCATGAATGTGAACAAGCCGTTCTGTGAGTTCGTCAACGAGGACGTGGACACGTATCCCAATCTGCAGAAGAAGTCCAATATGCCCGAGCAGGGCGACTGTCCGTTCCCCAAGGGCAAGTACACCATCGATAACTACGAGCTGGAGACAACATTCCTGCCGGACGATGCACCCAAAGGGGACTATCTGTTGGAGCTAACCTTGCTGGACAATGAGGCTAGCCTCTCGGGTCTGGTGGCATCCGTCACTCTGACCTAATGACGATGACATCTTAATATTTGCTCCTACCTTTTTGTTTGTTTATTTTCTAATGTTCTATATTCCTTGTTTTGGGTGGATCCATAGAGCACTGCAAGCGTTTTACACATATGCCTACTTTCTGCTGTAGCTTTAAGCTTTGTTTCATTTCTTTCTATTCGTGTGTCAAATATTAAATGCTTCGCTTTCAAGGACCTAGAGCTCAACTGTGTAATTATTGAAGACTCTTACAGAATTTCTGCTCAATACAGCTGCATTGCAGAGAGCTGTGGATGGGCCGGGAGGGGAAGGGGTTGGCCAAAGGATCTCTGGTAACAGCTCAGTCAAGTACACACATATGCTTGAATTTGCAAATACAGTAGAATATTCAGTTTCTGCATCAACACCTCGTCTAATTGAAATTTGCAATTGCTATTGCTGCCGCTGTCCTGTTGGCCTGTTATTTCACGCTGTGCCATTTGTCATTGACAAGCAGCAGCAGGAGCAGGAGGAGCAGGAGCAGGAGCAGGAGCAGGAGTAGCAGCAGAAACAACAGCGGCGCCCAGCATATGCCAAGGCTCTCCAAAATGCGCGCATAATGACAGACTCCGCCCCCCATCCCCCCTCCCCAAGCATCACACATAGTCACATGGAAAAAAGGGCTGCATGTATAGAACGGGACTAGGGCTGTGCTTTTGCTAAAAATGATTATCTGTGCATTAAAATCCATTGATTCCACTTAAGCACCGTTACAATTGCACACAGTGAGTGAGAGGCACACACACACACATAGACAAAGCGACAGCCACATGCGACACTTAATTAACAAATATGCATTACAAACACCCGCAACGAGCAGCAATTGGTTGGTCATGTCATCAGCTGGCTTCCTCTTACCCACAATCATATCACACACACACACACACACACACACACTGATTATTGCACATTTGCATTGCCTATGCATGTGGATGGCTTTTTATTTGGCTCGTCAGCGTCAACCACCCGCATGGCAGCAACAGCAGCAGCAGCTGCTGCCGTGGCACCAGCAACCGTTGCCGGCGTCGCCAGCAATTGGGGAGTTGTGTTGCATGTGTTTAATTGAAAAATCATATGCAGCTCGCATAATTATGTTTATTGCAATAATCTGATGCAAATTTTCAAAACTCAAACTGAATGCTTTAGACGACAGTGCCCCAAGCAGGCAACCTGCCAAGCCCTGCCAAGCCCTGCCAACACCTGCCACGCCCTCAGCCACCACCACCACGCACTTTTGTGTTATCTGCTATTGCTGTTGTTGTTCTTGTTGTTGTTGTTGTTGTTGCTCGCTGTTGGTGCACATTAAATTGCACTTGAAATTGCACATTTCAACGCCTACTGATTATGACAGATAATTATGTTATCGAGTGTTGCCGCACGCAAGCGTTGCCCCTTTATGCAGCAGCAATGCGACGCATCCACAGTCTCCTGCTACTGCCAGCCAGCCAGCAGGTGGATTGGGGGGCATCTGCAATGTACATTTGAGCTTAGGCAGACTGGGCTATACATGTCTGTATATATGAAAATATATGCTCTATTGTATATGATATATACTAATATTATTATTGCTATGATTATTATTATTATATATATATACTTATTGTTTATTTTATATTAGCTTTCATCTATGTATATTCCATTTCTATTTACTGCTTAATTTTCATGAGCTTTGGCATTGAGCTGAATGTTATTAATCTATCAACTTGAACTTGAAGTCAGTGCCTTGGTAGGGCTACAGCTACAGCTTAAATGATAAGAGCAACATTTCATTTTCAATGCAAAAATCTTTATGTATATTGTAATTTACACTAATATATTCCATCAGTGAAATAAAGCTCACATATGGAATTATTTGATTTTTAATAAAAAAAAATAAAAAAAGCTAACTCATAGACCTCATTTTCTCAAATATCAAATAATCACAATCAAATGTATGTATTTACAGCAATAAATTTTAATATACAAACACATTTATATTACATATACAATCATAGAAATGCCCAGAAACTCTTTCGCCCTCTCTCTTTCGCTCTAACACACTCTCTTATCAGCTTCTGCTCATATTTGTATTTGTATGCGAATATTTAAATGTAGTATATATTCTTCAAATGAGTAAGCTCTCAAAAATAACATACACATGTGACTAAACATTCTGTAGAACCCGACAGGCAGATACCCTGTATCTATTATGACTATACAATGAGAAATGCTTAGTCTAAAAAGTATTTGGTATTTAAGTATTTTCATGTACTCAAGCCTTCGATACTTGTATAATATTCATGTGCTTGTCTCTCTGGTCCATCACACACACACACTTGCGCCTATTCCAGGGTATATTTATGAAAGCAACTGCGGGACCTACGCGAGCCACCGAAGCTGAATGCGAAATTTAGTTGAATTTCAATTGATATGCGCGTCGGTCGAATTTTAAATACAAAATGGTTTCTAAGCAATTTATTTTATGGTCTTTCTTAATGCTGGCGATAGATCCAGGCTTCGGTGTGGTACGCTGTCCATAAATAGTTCAATGTGCTTAGTAATATCAAGTGTTTCTCTTTTAAGGAGCTGCAATCGGGCAGTCTGAAGACGGAGTTCAGTGTGAAATGTTTCGGAATAATGCAGCCGCTGCTGCAGGATATAGCTATAAAAAAGGAGAAAATTGATCGATGTGATGCGGTTGTTCAAGGCAGAGACGACAAATTGGCAGAGCTGCAGGGCAAATACGATCAAGTGCAAACGCAGCTGGCTGTGGCCGAGACCGCGGTGAGAGAGAAGGAGCGTCAGATAGTGCAGCAGCAGGATCTGTGCAACTCCCACAAAAATAACAGCAATGTCAAGGATGAACTCATTGCGGCCTACAGGCTGCACGTCAAGGACAAAGCCTCGGAGATCGATCAGCTGCAGCGGGAACTCAAGGCGCAAGCGAAGCTCCTCAGCAACTGCAGCGCTGAGTCTAAGCAAAAGGATGCTCGCATAGAGCAGCTAGAACAGGGATTGGCTGAAACGAGTCAGTTAACACGCGAGGAAGCCGCTCGAAACATGACTCAAAGCGCGGAACAAATTCAGCAGCTGCTGTCCGAGGCAAGGCAGCACAAGGATCAGCTCGACAGCCTGAAGGCGCAGCTGCGAAACAAAGAGGAGCACCTCGAGAAGCTGCAGTCGGAAATTGGGTGGACCAAGGAGCTGCAAGATAAACTGAAGAATCGAGAGGAGCAAATCGAGAAGCTTGAAGTGGAATTGGCAAAGAAACTGGAGCAACGAGACGCCTTCAGTCTGCAGTTGAATGCGAGCGAGCTGCTGAACGAGCAAAAGATGGCGGAAGCGAATAGCTTGAGGTCGGAATTGAATCAAATGCAGCTGCAGCTATCGGAGTATAAGATCCAAATCGATAGGTTGCAATCGACAAATTGTTATTGGTTTGGCAACTCGTCTGCAGTACACCAGATACGTGCGCCTGGCATCAAGCCATTCGATGTGCTCTGCGACTCGGAGCTGGCCGGGCCCGGCTGGACCGTGATACAGCGTCGCTTCGATGGCAGTGAGAATTTCTATCGAAACTGGACTGAATATCGCAACGGCTTTGGCGATCTGCACGGCGAGTTCTTTATCGGCATGGAGAAGCTCTACCGACTCACGCTGGCCCAGTCCAGCGAACTCTATGTCCATTTGGAGAGCTTCGACGGAAGCGTCTACTATGCTAGATATTCCGACTTCAGCATCGGCAGCGAGAGCGAGTCCTATAACCTGAAACTGCTGGGCACCTACTCAGGCAACGCTGGCGACGGTCTGTACTATGCCAAATATCGGAAGTTCTCCACCTTCGATGTGGATAATGACAGATCTGACGATAACTGCGGCATACTGAGGCACGGCGCCTGGTGGTACGACCGATGCGGTCTCAGGTTAGTGCTAGACCCTTTCTATACAATGACACAGATATCTATGTACATACATACATATA